CATCCTCTTTGCCTGTACACTAACTTTGTTCTTATGGTACTCCTAAAAATGTGTACTAGACATACCATTTGTATATAACATACATACCAATAGCCGACTATTTGTTCGATTAATCAGATACAAAAATTTAAAAATTCCATCCTTAATTTAAAATGAAATATATAAATGAAGTGTTACAAACTAAGTTTACTTTAGAATAAAACTACATGCACAATTTTTTTTTGCAATCGCACTGCACTGAAACGCACGTGGGAGGCGTGTTTGGGGTGCTATTGTAATGAAATGTAACTGCAACGCACCTCCTGCGGCAAAATTGGTCAGGCCAAAACCGAAAATGAAATTTTTCCACCTTTTATACATTTAAAAAAAATAATTGTAGTGTAAGCATGTGACGCTTGAATAGCTTCAGCCAGGGAATGACAGCTGCCACTGGCAAGATCCGGCAGACAGCAGTAGAATGTAAATACAGCAGTAAGTGGGCTGCCATAGACAACAGTAAGTTGGCTAATGCACCCACCCACTGCTTGCTGTGCCCTCCTCCTGCTGGAAAGGTCTTAAAGACTGTTTGATAAGATAATACAATTCTGGGACCTAATTTGGGAATCAGCTAGCAAACAGGTACATATAGTATGGTTAGGATAATATGATCCCTAAAAAAAGAATCTGACCACATAAACACCACTGACACATGAGATAGCAAACCTTAACTATCAGCCTTGTTAAAGTTTCAAAAGTTTAAGTCTTGACAAAGGTAGCCACCAAAATACACGTACTATTACCCCTACTGATCTCAACACTCTCAAGAGTGTACCTAGGAAGTTCTGGGCACATTTCTTCACTGGGGGCTCAACTTATGTCCAGCCAACATTGGGAATCTTAATGGATAGTGGGACATGGGTGTGTTGGGTCTAGTTCTAGAGGTAGGTCTTACTTCTGAAGTCAGTGATGTTTATGCCATCATGACATGGCGACCCCTCTTCCCCTGGACATGCAGAAGAGGGCTTTCAGTAAGTAAAACCATCTTCTAATCACCAGTGAAGTCTTGGTGATACTCTGCCACATTAGACTCAACTTCTCAACATTCAGTCCTAATGCCTATTCAACCCAATGAAGGACTTAAGCCTGGCTATCACTGATCCCATGATCCAGTGAGCGTATCTGGACACTGGGGATACAATAAAAGTGCTTTTATTGGATGGTGAGACAACATGCGTGCAGGGCTCAGTTTCCAGGGAAGAATTACTTCTAAAACTAGAGAAGATGGTGTCATAGCAATTAAACATACTCTCAGGGATACCTCAGCACATAGAAAATGATTTTTTAGTTAATTAAGTTAAGGCTCCTAGACAGGTCTTTTACTTTTAGAACTCCAACAAAGCTAACAGGTTCACTTTAATTATCAGCAAAGGTGACACAAAATAAACGGAATACAATAAAATCTCCATATTGTGGAGAGGGGAGAAAAAAAAAAGGACAATGCAGAGAATAAAGTTGTCACACTTCAAGCTAAGCTTGTCAGATTGTTCAGCTCATTAAAGTTGACCGTTCACCAATTATGTTAAGAGTTCTATTGCCAGAGTATCCAGCATAGATATGACACTGGCTCCATTTGTCTAGGAGGATGTTATCTCAATGTTATTCATTTTCTCGACATCTGCAATCTGCTTTACATAATGACTTTCGGCACGTCGGCCTGGTGACAGCAGACAGGAGTGGATTCCTGGAAGGCCAGCTCCTCTGCTAATCAATCCCCACCACCCTCGAGTTAAAGCACAGATTACAATGAAGACTAATATTGCATTTAGGAATGTCTGAGCTGAGCTTCCCCAGCAGATTTCTTTTACGTAAAAGGGATCTAATGATGCAAATTCCTAGTGGTGCTCTTTAGATTTAGGTACATTTCAGATTTCTTTTAAGTAGATGCATAGCAAAATGGAAGAATTAAACAAAGAATGTGATTGGCTGTTACTAGCAACGACTTCCTGAATGGTGTTTGAGCATGATTAACATCAATCAACCTAAACTTGTACCACTATCATTCGTACCATTGTTCAGTATACATGACTAGGTTTAGCTTTTGCAATGGAATCTGATTAGAACGCAAGTTATGAAGCGTATATGCACCTATATGAACACTAACACAAATAAAGTGTTAGCAGAAACTATATGCAGGTACCTAGAGGTGCACCTACCTTTCAAGAACCCTCAAGACCTTGCATGCCCTGTAATGCAAATACTAATCATGTCCAGCTCAGCTTCTCCTACCCCCTGCCACTCACTATTGGTCAATATGGTCCATTTGTTGTGATGAACTATTAATAAAGTGTGGGAACTGAAAAGGGAGGGACTGAGTACAACTTTGGGAAATGAAGTGGCTTTTGTATGGTTAAAAGCCCTTTGGAGCTCTCTGCATGCGCTAAAATTCATTAAAATTGTGCGTGACCATTTGGGTCCCTGTATATATTTTCGATAGTCATTTTTTTTTTCATCATTTGAAAGTCAATCCGTCAGCCATTTTTTACTCTTAAAAAGAGTTAGTTCTAGCTAGCTAAGTTAATTGTGTTTTTTTTAAATGTGGATGTATTCCTAAACCCACAGAATATTCCTGGATATTGAGTTCTTATAGGTATATTTTTTATTTGTGCATGTCATTTTTATTGGTATTTCAAAGGATGCACGACAAAAATGAACAAAGAATTACAAGATGATATAATACCATAACAATGGAGGTATATATGCCCCATACAGTCTTTTAAATAGAGTCAGGACATTCGATTATTCAGGAGGCATTGTACAAGATATTCATCTTCATCAGTAGCGTGTATCCACATTAACATATCTAACCAACTAAATCTAAATCTTAATAACTTAACAGCATAGAAAAGAAAAGATACGTTTGTTATGTCACAGATTAGGAGTAAAGAAGATAAGCAATACTGCCATTACCTTCCTTAGCAAATGTGTCAGTAGTCGGAGTCCACCAGGTTTGTGTGGGACAAGTCGGTCATCAAGGGGTCCATCGCCGGAATACAGATACATAAGCAATGGGTGTGGCAGTGAGAGGCTGCCATGGATACGGGCCCCCCTTATAGGTATATTAAGCATCAGAGATTGTTGATCCAGTGAATATCAAATTGCCTTATGGGATCAGAAAGGAATGTTTTTCCCCCGTTGGAGCAAATTGTACCATGCTTTATAGGGGTTTTTTGCCTTCCTCTGAAACAACGGTGGGTAACTGTGGGCATAGCGTTCTGTTTAGGCTTGTTTTTTCCCCCTCATATCTCTATAGGTTGAACTTTATGGCCATGTGTCTTTTTTTCAACCTGACTAACTATGTAAAATGCATGCTTGGTGTTACTTTAGTTGTCTCAAAAACCTACTATGCGTGACCCTCTGAACCTAGCTTCACTTCAATGCTAAGGGATTAACAACAGCACTAATGGCTTCAGGAAACAATGACTGCCATTCCTCCTTTCCAACAAATGCCCTTACTGGCTATTGAGGCACTTTCTTTCACTGAATAGTAATGGCAATCAATGGAGCTTAGTCAAGCCTCAGTAATAACTGGAACCAGTTTTAGAAGGGTTCACAAAAGAAGGGTTTCTGGCTTACCATTGTAATAGCAGGAATCTTGTAGTGCCCGCTCTAAACTGGGTCTCTTAAAAGTGTAAATAATTGAGGAGTTTCTGGCGCCAGGTATTCCAGAAGATATCACAGACCACGGGATGTATAGTGCAGCCATCACCCGAGTTGGCGATCCTTTCGCTAGGCATCGAAAACCTCCCACCTCAATTTAGGATTCTAATCTCTCACATTTTGCTAGCGGCAAGGTTGACCGTAGTGCGCCACTGGAAAAGCGTAAATGCACCAAATATATCTGAAACTGTAGCCATAGTTAATCTACATTGCCAATATGAGAGGGTTATGTCGTACCAAGATGGTTCCACAAAACGATTCTATACTGCCTGGTCGTCCTGGCTAGGTTGATGGCATTTTACACCTCCTTGTGGTAACAATGATATGATGCATGTCTTGTTTGCTTGGCTTCCCCTACCTTTTTCTCCCTTTGTCTTCCCTTCTTGTTTGTTCCTTTCCTCGGTACCAATCCCCATCTCGTTATATATAAAATATGTTGATGTCATTGGTGATGTGTGTTCCGCATAGGAGCGTGTATGCTCTTAATGTATTTGTATATCTATACTTTATGCAACATGTAACCTTTGACAGCAAGATTTCTATAATGACTGTGTTATGTTATTTTCTTGAAAAAATCTGTTCAATAAAAAAGATTGAATTTAAAAAGTGTAAATAAGCTTGGAGGTGACTGTTATAATGCACCGGTATTTCAATTCTAACATTAAGCTATGTTAACAGTTTAGCTGGACGGGGTGGATAAATAATAATACAAGGGAAGACATGCTTATCTTTCCTGGGGAAAATGCTGCTTCAGGACCCCTGCAGTGTTGACCACATGTCTGAAAGCCTTAGCTGGAAGGGCAAAGGTCAACTAGTCCCAAATGTGACACTCCTCTTTAGCAGACATCAGCGGCAAAGCCACACTGTGAATGCCTATAACCTACACCAGCACCTAAATCCCATCTCTTTCTGGTGCATGTATAAGATGGGGGGTTATTAGCTCTGTACCTGCTAAACCTCAACCCATCTCAAGCAATTGTGAATGCATATAACCCACACCAGCACCTGATCCTCATCTCTTTCTGGTGCATGGATAAGATGGGGGGCCATTAGTTCTGTAACCGCTAAACCTCAACCAATCTCTAGCTATTGTGAATGCATATAACCCACACCTGACCCTCATCTCTTTCTGTTGGGTGGATAACATGCTATGGTATCATGCATATAAACCACAAAAGCACCTGACCCTCAGCTCTTTCTGGTGCATGGATAACATGGAGGCTCATTAGCTCTGTAGCTACTAAATCTCAAACCACCTCTAGCTATTGTACAAAAAGCGGCACCACCTCATTTGTTTGTATTACCTCATAGCAGACATCAGCACTCAGGCATTTGTACACATTCTGCTGCATTTCCAGTATATCTTGAAGGAGACCCTTCCAGTGACTCTCACTGACTGGAGGCTGCCTAGAAAAAGAAAGAGAACAATGATGTTCGCATGAATTAGGCAAAAATGACATAAAACTGCTAATATATTTTTAAAAATCGACCCAGAAACCACCCATAACTTATTTGACATAAAATGTAAAACATAAAATTCATATGCAATTGTTATCTACAATGACAACAGACATAATACAGATGCAGGAATGCCCAGAATAACACCCTGCTGCTGCCCACTTCCTCTATAGCAGCATTGTCTACAGAGCCTGAGGTGGCGAATTATGGCATGCCTAGCATCTCCGTGATTCTCCTAAATTTAAGCCAGTTATGTCTACTTCAATCTAAGATCATACCAAAGGCTTACTGTACTGACAACTATTAGATTTGAACATAGATCTGAAATTACAATAGCCTTCCTTTAAATATCCCCCACTTGCCCTGCACACTGTGGGAAATTCAGATAGTCCTCAGCTCAGCTCAGACCTTACCATATATTGCAGGAGTCCAGTCTGGGCATCTTTTAGGCTATGTTTGCACAGGCAGGCTGAACTGTACTGTACAAGATCCCATTGACATGGGCCATATTGGATTAGCTGTAGATTGACGGACTCATGGATCAATAGCAGCCCATTATAGTCTATAGAGGGAATGCCCTCTGCGCTAAGACTGCAATGGAAACATATCTGAAAGGGAGGGCAGGATGGGCAACTGACAAACAGAATAAGATCTGATATGTTTCCTCCCAAGTTTTTTCCCACGTGGTGATTGGGGAAAAGGAGGAGGCATTTGGGGCAAAATGACTGCAATTACATCTTGAAACAAAATATGTAGTGTTTTACCTTATGTTTTCATTATGTCTGGCACCACCAAAAACATGTTTTATTCACGTAAACAGAATATATTTCATAATGAACAAAAGGCACATATGTTTGAAGTCCAGCCTGGCAAACATGACTTCCTCCATACATGCATTGGAGAAGTAAGTATAGACATGGAGGGACAGGAAGTGTGTTATTCTCAGGATCACCAAATGGAAAAAAAGGGGAAAAGTCTGGGGGGAAAAAGTAAACTAATGCAATGCAGCCACCAGATCTTTGGACAGGTAAGCTACAATAGATTAAAAAAAATAAACAATTTTTTTGGGGTAGGTACACAGAGTTCTTGCACATAGCTGACTTGATGACCAGTACTGACAAAGAAGAACCCTATAAAGGAACTGTAGAACGGCCTTCTGGCTCCCTCAGGGGTGCCTCAAATTGTTTGCACAGTCCTATGCCTTTACATAGTGTAGCGATGTGAAGGAGGGGGGTGGCCTCCTGATGTGAAGAGGGCTCTTGATGAGATGGGGAAGAGCTTTTGATGTGAAAGGAAGGGGTTCCTAATATAAAGGATGTTCTGATATGAAGGTGGGATGTTTGTGTTTTTGCTCTTAAAATCCATTCCAGACCCCTATATGGGATAAGGGTCCGGTATGGATTTTGGAGGGGCATCACATCATTTTTTTACTTTTTTATATTTACATTTTTAGACTGGGGTGCCCTGAGATTTTGCACACTTCTAAAGGGTACCGTGACTGAAATAGGTTTGAGAAACACTGCTCAAGAATGCCCCCTTTCCCTACAATGACTGATGACAAGAACAAAGGCGAGCTTTCAATGCAAATATAAGTACATTGGCAGGCAGCTATTGTAGTGACCCTTTAAGCTAAGGCATGGACTGGCAGAGATCCTAAACATGGCTGCAGATTATGTGATTCCAGCCACGTCCTTGAATTGTGTCCTGTGCTCTCATGAACATCTTTCATATGACCTCAATGAGTTTAGGATCAGTGCACATCATCAGTGCTATACAGAATGACGCGCTGTGTATTACGGGAAGAGAACCGAGCACAGACATGTGTCATTCTGTGACCCGGGACCTAATCTCCCAAACACACAAAATCCCAGAAGCATCAAGTGTATAAAAGAACATTCACATTTAATTAAGTGCATCAGCAACAGGCCTAATCATGGGGTTGTGTCTTCCATTAGCTGATGCAATTATCTCTGAACTGTCAACTGGGTCCTAAGGGAAAGAAATATCCCCTTCTCAAACAATCTACTTTTTATTCTCTATTATTCTCTTAAAGGAGAACTGTGAGGTGAGTGTTTTCACTCACCTCATAGTTCTAGCCGACCTGTGACAATGAGACTGTCACAGGTCGGCTCAGTAGATCGGGAGGTGAGCAACACATACCGGCTTTCGCTCACCTCTCGATCCTGTCACGGCTCTCTGCACATTTCCCTTTTAAAAAAGAAAAAGAGATTGATAGTACTCAATCTCGTTTTCTGCATCCCCTGTTATAAATAAACAGGAATACCCTATAGTGAGTGTTCCTGTTCATTCATACATTGTGGAGATGGTATGTTTACCATGTACACGATCATGAATGAACAGGAGGTGATGTAGATCACTTCCTGTTCATTCATAATTGGGGACACAGTAAACATACCTTGCTGACTGCTTGTACCCGCTCTCCATCCTGACCCACTGTCACAGGAGGATGAGTCACCTGATCCTCTGAGCTGGCATGCTCTTGGGCCAGTCTTTCCAGCCTCTCTCCTCCAACTCTGCAGTGGTCTAAGGTCCCAAAAATCATCATGTTCTACAGACGTGAGCATGCTGGGGAACATTTCAATGCTGCGGGATAGGAGAAGACAGGCTTTTAAGACCAGAGAAGCAAAGAGTGGGCTCAGCGGTTCGGATGAGTATAGCTTTTTGTTTTTACGTTCCTAGGCCAAAATGAGCAATTAACCCTTGCAGTGCAGGAGTAACCCCACTGCAAGGGTTAATACATTTTTTTGCCTGGAGTTCTGCTTTAAATACAAATTATGTAGCCAAATTTTTAAAAATTTCTGAACAATAAGTGCACACCAATGCCGCATGCAACACAGATGCACATTTGAACAGGTTACAGGTTGCAAAAACGCCTGCGCCAGAGCTCCAAATGAAAAAGCTGAAAAAGAATGCAATGGCCCATCTATAGTTGGCTCGATTCCCATTTGATACAAGCAGTCAGTTAAATTGTTGAAAAAGCCTTCACAGTTTTATCTCTTTTATCATTTCTCGAAGAGGCGACCACCCTTGTTTAAATCCTCAGATCTCCCCACAGTCTACTGCCTATTTAACAGATAAATGGAAAGGATAACACGTTTCCAATTCCTGTGATAAAGTCCGGGTCAAAGTCAAGATGCCTGGGTTGCATCCCGCAGATATAAATGAAATAAAGACTGGACGGGAACAGGTAATTACTATCACCCAATCAATAGCCTAATCTACACGAATGATATCTGCTAAACGCAGAGCAAATCCTCCAAGGTTGCCAAAAGACAAATGACATTGTACGCATTTAATCACAAAAGTGCACGTGAGATAATAAATAATGAAGCAGATACTAGAGACTGGATAAGCTAGAACAGCAAAGCCCATTTCTCAAAGGGTTTTCTAAAAATGGTCATGCACGTCAGATGACAAGGGAAAGAAATACCAGCATAGGATTTTCTGGATAATGGATCTCTGATCCTGGTCATACCTCTCCAAGCATTTAAAAATACATTTAAAGTGCAATACCATCCAGAATTTGGTCTATGTCAAGGGTAGGTAACCTTGGCACTACGCTACAAATCCGATCACGCCACTGTCATGCCAGTGGATGTCAGAGTGTTGCAATGCCTCATGGGAGTTGTAGTTCGACAACAGCTAGAGCGCCGATGCCGTCTACCCTTGGTCTATGTTTTTGTGTATCCATAGCTGGATCTAGACATGTAAGCCGGCAATTCAGATTTTTCGTTATTTTGTTTTTCGGGATTTGGGTCAGAAATTCTATTTGTTTTGGTATTCGGATTTGTCCGAATTGGAAATTGTTCTTAATTTCAGAACAGTTAAACAATATTTACTAGCGAAAATTTGTTCCAGAAGAGTGACATTAAATGTTTACTGTTTTTCATTTTATCGTAAGAAAAATAATTTTATATAAAAACATGAACACCTACAGCAAAATGACATCTCTGCTCCTGAATGTTAACAAAGGGGCGAAGCGAATCTTGACATCAGGGGACTTGTTCGGCCCCATGATATCACAACTCGCTCCGCCCCTTTGCTGACTTTCGGGAACAGCACTGTCATTTTGCGGCTAGTGCTCACCGGGATCGGACATGTCGGCAGGCGTCGGAAATTTTTCTTTTGGCGACTCAGCAGCTGTCATCCATCGTGAGTGAAGAGGATCTACAGCGCTGGACGATGTGATTGACGTGCAGATTACATCAATGGACATTTTTTTTTTCTAACAAAAGACTTGTCATGAACTGTTGTGGTTTTTTTATTTTTTGGGGGTTTTTTTTCAAATAAAGGATTTTTTTTTTACGGTGTGGTGTGTTTTATTAACCATTTTACGGTCTTTGGTGAATGAGTAGGGGTAACAACTACCTCACAGATTCCTATAAACCTCCCTGCCTGCAGACCCCCACAAATACCAGGTCCCACAAATACCGGGTCCAGGGTTGTAGGGAAGGGGCCCTTGTCTTCATCGACATGTGAAGAAAGTGCTTTGCCAGGGGGACCCTTCACTGGAAAAGCACCCTCCCCATGTTGGGGGCATGTGGCCTGGTATAGTGCAGGAGGAGGGGGTGCCCGCTTATCCCCTTCCCCCTTAGCTGCTCTGCCAGGCAGCTGCTCTGATCAGGGGTCTGTCAAGGGCTTTTATGGGACCCAACACTTTTTGTTTTTTTGTAGGCTTTGGGGTCCCCCCTAAAGTCCTACCAGACCTAAAGGGTCTGGTATGAATTGGGAAAGGGACTCCACACTGTTTTTTTTTTTTTTTATCTTACCATTTAACAACAAATTAACAGAATTTCCGATGCATCCGAAAATGTTGTTTTAAAAAATTCTTATACGTTTGTCTAAAATGTATTTATTTCTTTCATTGGGAAATGTGGATGCGTTCAAATGTCTGAATATGTTGATATTTGTCCAACTTTCAATTTGGAACAAAACAAATCGCACACGTCTAGCTGGATCTTCATATCTGTCTGGAGCCTCTGCATTACAGGGTCAAATGTGGGTAGAGATTCAACATCTCCGTTGCGTCACTCAATGAATGGAAGAAAAGGATCATTTCTGGTTGATGGGGTTCAGCACGTGTTCCAGATCTGTGATTTCAAAATTGCTGGAGCCAGAGACAGCCAGGATCCTTGGATTTTCAGAAGGCAGTACAGGTTTCCTTATGAAGGTGAAAAATAGAACTCCATTAATAAAAAGAGAAGTCACTTACTTTCGACCAGTGTGACGGGTGAGACGTACAATCAGCTTGTGAGCATCTTCCACACTTGACTGGGTCTCTTTGACATATGATATGGGTTTCTGCAGTCCATGCTTCTCCAAGATCTCTGACACACTAAAAATACAAGAATGCATCCAAATAAGCTAATTTGATGCCTTGTGCAATAACACAAACATTTTATATCCCTCAGCTGGGCCTATTGACTAAAAAAGATTCAAAGTGTAATAATGTTGTGCAGTAAGAGCAGTAAATACCAGCAAGCAATGTGAAAGTGCCTCCCGGTTGATTTATGGAAAATGAAATGTGATTGGTTGCTGCAGGCATCAGAGCAAATTTTACGGTCACCTTGGGACTTACTGTGATTGGAATTTTTCAAGCTAAATTTCAGGCACATGAGCTTTCATTCAATTATATTCCTCAATAACCACAAAGGATAGAAATCCATTGTATGTACGCAAAATTCCTTTGCAGATCCAAATACTACCATGTAAAAATAGCTGTGATATCATTGTTGTGCTGCACATAGGCTGTACAAAGAAGAACTGCTGTGGGAGGGACCCCGCAGGCCCCACCCACTACAGACTGCATGCAGTAACTACATGAGGGGTGGAGACAAGACCAGTCACCCTGCACAAGGAGAGAGAGCAGCAGTGACCAGTCTTTATTATAGGAAGCAGCTGAACATATGCAAAATGAAGAAGATTTCATCTTGGATTATGCGCAGGTCTGGAAGAATTACACAATGGACACTAAGGCAGTAAAGCAAACATGGCTCTTTTTGTACTCCGTTCAGCCCACATATCAGCTTTACAGGAAAACTTTTAGGGTTCACTATAATTTAATTGGTCTTTTAGGTTTATACAATTTATACTGATGTAATATATATATATATACACACACACACAGTATTTTTTTTCTTTTTTTTGTTACAAATATGCATTTGACAGATGACAACGGTTTTCCAGAGTACTATGAGTCCTCTAAGCAGGACCCATATGAACATAACTGGTCTTGCCTAGGGCGCAAAATAGTCTTGCACCGGCCCTGTATACAGAAAGTGAAAAGAAGGTTAAGTAAATTTTGGCTTTAGCTATTGAGCTCAGTAAAATTCAGGCTTTTCAGGCTTTTTACAAACAGGTGTGCTAATAAGTCCCTGGAAAACATGTTGGAAAAAAAGTGCCAACTAGTGGCTCAGAAGTCAATACAAAGCATTAATGTACAACAGCAGGAGCCAATTGCAGTGTAAGCGAGCCAAACTTCTGGGGTGCGGCAAAATTTCAAAATGCTCATAAAAGCATCTGAAGGTGTTAACTAGACTATCAGGTGTGTTTACTAAAGAAGCGGAGAATGGTCACTATGCAAAATACATTTCTATTTTGCAAAGTGAATGTCCACTTCGTTTTAAATCAGCTGCTCTATTAAAAAAGATATGTGATAATTCTCTCTGATGAGAGAATGAGAACGGGCCTTACACCTTTAGTAAATCAACCTGCATATATGCGTTTTGTATGTTTCAAATGCACCCTGATTTGCTTTAAAGAGCAGCCCCATGCAGCAAGTAAAAATAATGAGTAATCTACTAGTGATATCAGGCAAACACTGCTGTGCTAAAATGAGAAATACTAACAGGAGGAAGCGGATGGATTGGTGCACTACAACGATGGTAGGATGAAATCCCAGTTTTAGAGCTCTAGACATAATTTTCAGTTTTGACTGGCGTGTACCCTTAATCTTTAGTAACTAGGATTTAGGTTTGTTTCAGTGCGATATAAGGTTGGCCCCCTTTAATTGTGTTGCCATGAAATGACATGGACATCAACTTGATGGTGTGAAGCACAGCCTACTCCGGTCTGCCCACATCTCTACGACTAAGCCAGTGATTGGGTGAAATGTGTCAGTGTGGGCAGACCTTGGATGGGGCACCAGTGATGTGGCACAAGTTTCAATAACCTATTCCAGCGGAATCCGGTGTCTGGCCACTTGTCTTCTGTTTATATGGAACTCAGGTTTACGTGACCATTTTAGTAAATTAGGCTCTTCGTTTACATGGAATGTCATGTAAATTGGTCAGTAAAAGCCACGTCAAGCACACTCCTATACCTTCCAAATGCTATACACCTAATAAACCCAAAGAGGCTAAATCATTTTATTTTTATAATTTTTATATAATTGTATCTATATTTTTTTAGAAATTGTTATTATTTATATAATTAGAGTTATAATGATTAGAAAAGAAAAACCTTTAACGGGAAAATATCATCTTTCTGAGATAAATAAATAATACATTTGTCTAGACAGAACCCAATTTTTAAATTGTTATTGTTTTCACCTAAAATGCAGATTTCTGGCAATAAATTATTTTGAAGTCAGGCTTCCAACCCATGCAGAGCTGGCAGAATCAGTTTAGTACAGACTGGGCATATCAAAGTGTACACATTGGAGGCAAATCACAATTTGCCATTTCACAGAATACACACGTGCCAGCTTGTGCAATGTCTGACGGATTGTGTAGATCAATGAATACAGTGAATCCATTTTTTACAAAACTAGGTAAACAAAACAAAAAATGTGAATCCAAATTCAGCTGGAACGCATCAGATTTTCCTGCTTTACAGCAAAGGACACAGAAGGTGCATCTCCTTCATTCTGCGTTTTCCCACGGCTGACACATGACACTCGGTGACAGAGACAAAAGTATCTTCAAGGTCACGAGTAGCCAGCACCGCTATCTGAAGCTCCAGCAATTCTCTTAACATCATTGTTATTCCGGCTGGGGATTTCACCACCAAGCTCATCTATCTCCTCCTTGTAACTAGATAATGAAGCTGTAGATTTAATAAAGTGACCTAATTTCCACCAGCTGCACTTACCATATGGAAACCAGCTCGCAAAACACGCTACATGTAAAAAAAAATACAACTGCAAACAGCACGCTAAATCAAAAGACACGCAGGCTCTGACACCTCTGGGCAACAGGTGGCCCACCGCTACAGGCTCTTCTGACTTGCAGATGGTAATAAGGTGATGCCAGCTGGGAAGAAATGGTTGCCCACTTTCCTAAGCTGCAGAAGGCTTCTTCTACGTCAGATCCAGCAGAACACTATGAGATATCTGTCCTTGAAGTAATAGCTGGTGGCTTTTAATCCCTGCTGTCACTAAGAACTATGGACATCGCTCATAATCGGAAACCAAGCACAGTAGTTCCAAAGTTGATCATTTGAATGCTATGTTAACTACAATAATAAGCCTCAGACTGCCAATGAAGGTGGGAGGTTTCCTCTGTTTAATATTGTAATTGTCAGATACAATATATATATATATTGATGTCGGCCCAACCAAGTACTGATCGGGTGGTCATAATAATCTGGCCACTCAGTGTGTATATATATATATTATTCACATTCTTCCCTCCAGCGGTGGCCAACTTTTGCTTCAGTGCTGAATGGGACTCATGTAATGGCATTAGTGATGACAGGTCTACTTATTCATTAAGCTAATGTTTGCAGTCTGTGTGCCACTGGGAAGATCTCTCTTCACTCCCTCTTCTGCAGACACAACAGGAAGTTAGAGGAAATCTCACAAAGTAAGAATCTCCCATATTCCCCTCTTAGTTGTTACTGAACAGGTGTCCCCATTGGAATATTTACACTTGCTCTTGTTCTGATGACAACTCTAAAATCTTGTATGTCCCACTATTTTCTGCCTCGGTCATAAAAGACAACCAGCATAGGGTAGGTAAACCTGCCCAAAGGTAGCAATAAAAAATTGACCTACCCCAAATCCGAGTAGTGTGTGGACGCCTCAGGAGCCCCAACCACATTCGGCAATAGTTGATTTTTCAGCCGGTTGAAAAAATCTCAGCCAAACAGTGACTGCAGCCAATCAGCTTTGGGTATTCTTACTGTGAAAATGCACACAGCTGTCAGAATACAAAAGTCCAGTGGGGGGATTGCCCCATCTGCACGGTTTAGTCTGGATGGGGGAATCAAGCCCTTTTTTTTTTGTTCTTGTTCAGCTAGTGTATGTCCAGCTTTACCCTTCTTTATATACAGCTGAAATTGCTCCGAATAGAACAGTTGTCTGGCTGTCATGCTCATTCTTTGGCTTCCACACTTTCTCAGACACTGACCAGGAACAAGTACACAGATCAGGAATTCTGCTTTCCCTTACCGTGTACATGCTGCATGTCAGTAAGTCAAAAAGTACTGAAACCAGAGGATCAGCTTGACTGCCAGGCAACTAGTTTTGTCAGCATTAAAGGAAAACTATGAGGTGAGTGATTTCCACTCATAGTTAGAGCCAACCTGTGACAAAGAAGCTGTTACAGGCCGGCTCTATTCAGGGCCGGATCGGGAAGTGAGCAGAAACATGCAGCTGATCTGCTCACTTCCCGATTGTATCCCTGCAATGAGCGGGGACTTGCAGTCACCGTTCCCTGTAGGGATTCCTCCCTCCCCTCTCTGATCCTCCAGCGCTGAGTGGAGGAATGGACAAGGGAGGGGGCGGGCACAGCTGGCTCTGCCTCTAGACCGCAGAGCCCGCTGTCAATCAGCCTGCTGGTTGAATCTCAACAGTATTGTGGAGATCCTTCCTGGCTACGGTGCTCTCAGTATATTGCGACCAATAGCTGCTATATACTGAGCTTTGGGTCACGGATGGAGGTTGTATATGTCCTCCTGTGACCCTAAAGAAAACTATGGGGAAAAACACTTACCCCATAGTCCTCTTTGAAGTAATTGATAATTCTTTCCTGAAAGGGTTTTTTTTAAGCCGGGCACATGATTAGGAGTCCCAAGAATTTAATATTCAGGTCTCATAGGAAGAACAAGTTCGGAATGTGTTTTTACTTTTATCTGTCAGGCCGTGGACAATGCTCCGCTATCTTTTAATATAATAAGAAACATGAAAAATGAGTGTGCCCCAGCCCCGCTGTTCCGTCTCCTATCACACATCTATTTGCATCAGGTAGCGCTTTCACCGGGCCTCGCCACCGACTTTATGGAACAAGGATATTTATGATTTGATTCGCCTTCTGCTGGCCTGAATTTATCACTGAATCAAGCAGCGGCGCCCATACCGAAATATTTCTTCTACAAACAACAAGCCGGCAGCTAGAATGAACGGACCATAATACCCATTTCATCCTAATTTATAGTTCATACTTCGGTTCAAAGGCAAAAACAAATTACGAGCGGAACTTTCTGCCGCTTGTCTTTATGGTTAGAAGAAATCCCATTGAAAAGCGTATTGCTGGCAAGCCTTCATAATGTACACACTGGCGGCTGAGAGCGGCAGCCCTTCGCCCAACCAAAGGCTGGAAATCTCAGCTCTGGGAGGATATGGAGATACCGATTTGTAGGTGCTATAAAAATGGATGTATTTCCAAGTAAAGAGCACTCCGAGCATGCAGCTGCTTGGTTAATAAACATGTTAACACGTTCTCTCCCAATGGTGCCTAAGTTAGCCACTTCATGTGGGCAATGAGTCTTCACAAGTCCTCATCCATAATGCTCTGTGTCATGAGAAAGGTATTAAACCTTGCAGCAGAGAGCTAGAAATATGCACCTACTTGGTGCCTGTCTTTACCATTGCTCCTTCCCTCTTCTTTCACTAAATCTGCACTCCAGGCACACTTAACACTACTAATCATATGCTGCAACGTGTGAGAACTAGGAACTTACTAAATGTAAGTTGACATGACAGGAAGTCCTGTGCAAGCTCTGAGTCACTCTACTCAGAGCTTAAACCAAGTAAAGAGCACTTTGTGCACTCTACTCAGAGCTTAAACAGGGCTGAGTTCTCCTTTCCTATCCCAGTGTTAGAAGGCAGGCACGCTCTACCGCCAGTAAGGTGCAGGCACGCTCTACCGCCAGTAAGGTGCAGGCACGCTCTGCCGCCAGTAAGGTGCAGGCACGCTCTACCGACAGTAAGGTGCAGGCACGCTCTACCGACAGTAAGGTGCAGGCACGCTCTACCGACAGTAAGGTGCAGGCACGCTCTACCGACAGTAAGGTACAAGCACGCTCTACCGCCAGTAAGGTGCAGGCACGCTCTACCGCCAGTAAGGTGCAGGCACTTTATTGCACCAATAAGGTGCAGGCACGCTCTACCGCCATTAAGGTGCAGGCACGCTCTACCGCCAGTAAAGTGCAGATACGCTCTACCGCCAGTAAAGTGCAGACGCGCTCTACCGCCAGTAAAGTGCAGACACGCTCTATCGCCAGTAAAGTGCAGACACGCTCTACCGCCAGTAAGGTGCGGGCACGCTCTACCGCCATTAAGGTGCGGGCACGCTCTACCGCCATTAAGGTGCGGGCACGCTCTACCGCCATTAAGGTGCAGGCACGCTCTACCGCCATTAAGGTGCAGGCACGCTCTACCGCCATTAAGGTGCAGGCACGCTCTACCGCCAATAAGGTGCAGGCACGCTCTACCGACAGTAAAGTGCAGGCACGCTCTACCGATAGTAAAGTGCAGGCACGCTCTACCGCCAGTAAAGTGCAGGCACGCTCTACCGCTAGTAAAGTGCAGGCACGCTCTACCGCCAGTAAAGTATAGAAATAATATGCTATGCCACCTATCTGGAAAAGAGACATAATAAATAAATGAATGCACAACAAACCAATCTACATCATAACAAAACAAAAAAAAAATGCTTTTTCACTTAATCTCCAAATAATTCGCCCGAACTGAAGAAGAACTGGATAATCAAACAAAATGTGTTACCTGAGGATTTGTTCCAGCTGATCCACCTTGTCATGCAAGGATTTTGTTATGTCTGTCTCTGAGCTGGGAATAAGAGGATGAAAGAGATATTGTAAATCAGATTGCTGAAAATAATTTCCTGTTTTTATTAATACAACAGTGCTGAGTGACACAAACAATAACTAAGCCTTCTATCAACCCCGACACTGTGTTCCTCTGCACTCGCTCACCCCTCAGAGGGTACTATTAAACTAAAACTTACTGATGACAGGGCACAGAAACTGTATGTACTGGATGCCTAATACAACGTATGTGGCTATTTTAAAGTGGACCTGTCAGGTCAGAAATATATGGCAGTGGCCTCTAGTTAATTCTTGGCTGTCATAACTGATAGGTGACACACTGACCTGAAACTATAATCTACACATAACTTGTACCAACACCTGCTATGCACATTTGTTCCATATCAGTGACTCACTAAGCTGTGAATTATTTTCTTTTTTTATTTCAAGGCTTATGAGGATTGTCAAATCTTTTGCCCTTTACACCCCAGTTATACAAAGCATGTATGACATACTGTATACCATATCCTTCAACTTTATCCTAATGTTCCTTGGGACCATATTATTCCAAAAGATACAACGGAATTGCATGCTTTATTCCAGGACTCTGCATTATATGTTAATGTTGTGAAGAGGAATACTTTGTATATGTTAATATTTGATTGGGTATGCTAGTGGTCTTATTTGGTTTCAAACAACTTTCAATGTATGCTGTATGTGACATATGTATTTAAATGATGGAGCTGGGAAGTCATTTTGTACAATAAATTTAGATTTGGGAAGTGTAGAGGAATGAAGATGTTTATGGGGATACACCATGGTTTCTAATTGCGTTGCTTTGTACAGTAAATTTGGATATGGGAAGTGTAGAGCCTTGGTCCACGCCCCCGTGTTTAGTGGGTCGCCACATGCTTTCCACTTTTCTAGGTGAGAGGCTCCTCTGTCTCCTCCTAGTGCAGCACTGTCAGTTCTTGCGCCAAGCAGACATTTAAAATATGCTGCCTGGCGCCGAGTGTTAGCTTGAGGTGGGATGGAATGGAGCTATGGCCGTGAGGTAGCTCCATCCTTACGTGCATTGCTTATAGCTCCCTTGCATGTCCTGTAGAGATGCCTGGACCAGAGTGACGTCACATTCTGGGTCCCGGCACCTCTACAGGGCATGCAAGGGAGCTGTACAAGCAATGCACATATGGACGGAGTTCAGTCACAGCACAGCAGCCACACTGGACCCTAGGCTGAGGATACATTCCAGTTTTTGTACGGTAGGGATACTGGGTGGACCTTAAAATAAAATAAAGTGGGTATGTGTGTGTGAGAATATATGAGATTGTGTCTGTGTATGTATGTCAGTGTTTTTGAGGGCCCATTCACACTAGGACATTGCATTAAACTGTACCACGCAATCGCACCTACCGTGTGGGAGTTGTGTTGTCATTCATTTGAATGGTATCCCAAATGCACCTCCCACCCACAGTTCGTATGCCCGCACCAGAACGTGCGGTACCCTAAGCCTGTGTGTTCCATTGCAGTGCAACTTGGGTCACGATTTAATGACCAAGGTCAAATGTGGGTCCTAAAGTTACACAGGGTGAGAACCACTGGTGTAGAGGGACGAGGATGCTTATGGGGATATATCAAGGTAATAGATTGTGTTCTTTTGTACAATACATTCGGATATGGGAAGTTTACAGGGTTGAGGATGTACTTTAAAGGGATATACCATGCTTTAAATCCGTGTTCTTTTGCACAATACATTTGTATATGGGAAGTAAGAAACAGTTTCTTGAACAAGTTTTTTTACAAGCGCTGGAGAATTTAATATTTTCCATTTTGGGTTTAAGAGTCTCTTCAATAGGGGGTTCATTTGGGTAAAATTATCTACTTAATAGAGTACCAGAGACTCTGAACCCTTTTAGGACATGTGAGTCAGCATACCAGCATGTAAGCCTCATATATGAAATTGCCTAAATAAATAATTTATGCTTCATCCCAAAAACCAATCATATTTGCACCTCTATTTTTCACTATTTGACCGGCAAAAGGATCATGGCAGTCTATATGGTTGCAGTGGGGTAACAAACTGCCTGAGGCAGCTCTCCTCTCAGACACTTGCAAAAAACAGGTTGGATTTTTTTTTCTCACAGCATTACGGGGTAGGCTACCGCGGCACTCCAGCTGTGGCAAAACTATATATCCCATATCCCTCTGGAAGTCATGCCCATGGCTGTCACAGTCTTGCAATGGCTCATGGGACTTCACCACAGGTAGAGGACCAAAGTTTTCTGCCCCTGATATAATAATAATTATTATTACATAGTATTTATATAGCGCCAACAGTTTGCACAGCGCTTTACAATGTAAGGAAGACATTACAATTACAATACAATTCAAGACAAGATGGTAAGGAGGGCCCTGCCCCTGAGGGCTTACAATCTAAAATGGAGGGGGAAATGATACATGAGGAGGTAGCTGTGTGGGGATGAATTATTTGAGAATGTGATGGTTTAGTGGTTAGGTTGAGGTGGGATAGGCTTCCCTGAAGAGATGAGTCTTTAGGGAATGCCTAAAGGCAGTCAAGGTGGGAGATAGACAGACAGGTTGAGGTAAAGAGTTCCAGAGGATGGGAGAGACTATATAATGGGTTAAAGCTAATTCAGAGACAACTAAAAACATTCAGACATCACTTTAAAGAAACCAAGCAAATCTACAGGAAACTTAAGTCACAGCAAAGAATGATCTGCAGAATGTGAATGAACATTAGCCATGCAGTTAACAAGGTAATACAACTTAGAGGCTCTCTTACCCATAACCCCTCTGGGGCAAACACTCCAAAATGTCATAGCAGAGGGACAGTTGGTTATCTCGCTCACAAGTGTAGATGGATTCCAGAGCTATGACCATAAGCTGGTCCTGATTAGGAATTAGCTTCTGCGGCCACTAGAAGGAAAACAAAAGAGTAAAAAAAAGTATCATCAGTTATATTCTGTAGATCATTGATAATAACCGATTAATAAAGACCGTGAATGAAATGAAAAATGGGACCTTAAAGGTGACAAATAGCAAAACAACTCAAATTTACCATCAATCACATTGTTTTATTTTACACATACAGTATATTAAAGAGGAAATCTACCCATACCTTCAAAATAACAACAAACGCACCTTTAGAAATGTTTAGTAATGACAATCGAAAAACACATACTTCGAGATTATTGCCGGCTTTGTATTATTTTCTCTTTTTTTGCCAGCTTCTTTCTCTTTTTCTCCCGTGTCTTCTCACAGTGGCCATTTTAACTAAGGGCAGATCCATAGATCTCCCTTTACTTCATGGAACTTGGCACATGTGACTAGGACATGTGACCATGCACATCATCTCAGGAGAGGAAAATCCCTTTCCCTGAGATCTCGTGAGATTTCCCAGCAATGCTCTGCTGATGTAATCTTCCCAGGATGCAATGCTTGGGCACAATACATAATCTGTGCCAAAGTGGACCAGGAAGTGGAAAAAGGAAACTGTAAGTAAAATAAAAATGTTTGCTTAGCTAATGAATGTAAGATGATTTCATTTTAGCATGCAGAGCTGTATACTTATGTGATTTTAAGTCAAATGGGGTAAAGGCCCACTTTAAAAACATATAACCATATTAAAATATTATGGGAATCCTTCATCCAAACCCTAGCTACTAAACTTTCAAATTATGCAGCGCCCGCAACATATAACGTGTTAATATCATAAACCATAAAATCAAATAAATATATGTGACTCAAATGTATAAACTATAATAGTATAATACACACACAACGTCCCTCTGAGGAAGCCCCTGTGTGTAGGGGTGAAACGTTAGGGTTAAACGTGTGTGCAGCCCTCCCTGTGTGCCCATGATTTTACTCTGCAGACTCTGCTGGATATACGGGATCCCTTTGGGGACACTGATGGCAAAGCAAACCAACCAAATCATGGTGGATCTGACAGTACTACCTTCACTTTGAATACTATCTGTTCACTCCTCTTTGGCTAAATCCATGCTGACTGGACCCACTAAGGGAAAACTACACTCCTCGTGGATCTTTATTCACCTGCATTCGTTAGTGCGGCCGCACATATGGAATACAACTTTCCAGCTTTGTTATCAAACACAGGTCTGAATACCACTTCATAGGCAGGAGCCGACATGGAGGATCCACAGCAGGCCTCGCAGCAATTATACCAACATACAGGAAAATAAAGTTGCTGAAACCGGGGACCAGCAGTCTGGGACAGCCATTGTGACCATTACCTCATGCATGCTTGAAGTCTTTTTTGTTAGGAACTGTCTCACCACCTAAACCACATCAGAAGTGAGTAATTCCTTCTTTTTCTCTTCTTTGATACTGAGTATTTGCTTGCCTAACACAGCGCTTGTGTCCAATATCAGTGACTCTTTGTGACCATCACTAACGGTCACTAGATTCTCATCTACATCAATCAACACAGGGCGATATCAGGGAGGACTTGTTTGTCATTTTAATTGATTTTAGATGTTCTTTGTCAGTAGGTGTATTTATATGTTTTTCTACTTTTTTATTAATTCTCATTAAAATTTGTTACATTATCATTACCTGTTTGATTATTATAGACAGCTCCTATTTTGGGATTCCGTATTTTCGGGGAACTTTGCTTATTATATATAACTAGAATACTAATCAATGGCCTACCAATTGAAGCTCCCTCTCAAATTGTGCAAAATGACTGCATTGATTGAGGCCTGGCCATACCCTGGTAGATTTGCATTAGTATATATGAAAAATCTCATCAGAACATTTACTTGTGCCATCAGAGACGTGACAAACGACATTGGAAATTGCATTTGATTTGACACTTTTGAAAATAAATAGAGTTTCCCGAACAAGGACAAGACATTATTTTTAGAAGTTTATTTGTTCGAGAAAAATTTTCAGTCCTGATCCCTCAATTTCTTTCATCACAACAGAAACGGTTCGCTGATTTAACCCCATAAACTATAATAAAAACAAATGAACGTTACGAAAACAATTTTCTGAACAAAATTCTACCTGTGTATGGCCAGCTGAAGTGTATGACTGACCACGGCCCATTAACTACTTGACTGCATGGCTAGTTGATTGACTGATAAACTAAACGTTCTCCGAGGGATCACATATTTTTAGCTGGACTTTTTCTAGTGTTATGTGGCTGTACATGCCTGTTACTTTTATTGGTTGAATGTTGAGGTCTTCTATTTGTTCTATGCATTCTCACTAAAAATATAAAATTAAAAGGTTAACTGTGTGCAACAAAACCTCAAGCCGAAGCTTTGGCTTTCCAATAATACTTCTGGTTTGCCACTTCAAGTATCTAACAGATAACAGACTCTCAATCTGGGCCTTTGTTACAGTGATCTTTTGGAATAGTGTTTATCATCCAGTGTGCCATGACACAGTGTCATGTATTTCCATGGTGTAGGCGGGCTGGTCACCAGCACCAAAGAAACGCGTGATGCTAATCCAGGGCAGACATCTAAACAGAAAAGGGTGGAAGTCTTCCTCGATCCAGTCCTGCTCCGCCTACTGCCCTGCCGCATTTTACTGTTAAGGGGGTACCGATGGAAACTATTCTGTAAAGAGGGGGAATGAGAGGGACTCTTTGTGAAGTAGCAATGAGAGGGACTCTGCAGAGGAAGGGGGAGGACTGAGGGAGACTCTGCTGTAAAGCCGGGGGACTATGCTGAGGAGAGGGGAATTGAGGAGGGCCCTGCTGGGAAAGGGGGACTGAGAGGGACTCTACTGTAAAAAGGATACAGTCCGTGTACCCATCGCACTCAGAACCGCTGCTCGATGAGATAAGAAGTGGATGCAGCAGGTGTCAACGTGTGGCTTCCGTCAAAGTATAAGTAAAGGATGGACACCGACACGCCAAAGCAAATCCAGTACGTCTATTTATTTACATACATGTTGCAAATGCAAGACACAAGATACAACGTTTCAGGGTCTCACAGGATCCCCTTCATCAGGCTAACAAGCACCGAGGGTTTACCATACTACACCATAAACCCTACAGCACACACGTGTCTTTCAAACCTTTCCGCATAAAAGGGCACTCAAGGGGACTCTACTGTAAGGGGGGAAAGAGACGCGAGGGGGGCTCTGCTGTGAAACTTGGACTGAAGAGGACTCTGCTAAAGGGGAGCTCTTGATCTGAAGCAGGGGCTCCTGATGTGAAGGGGATACCCCGTGTTGTTTTTTGTTTGTTTCTGTCTTTTTGTGCAGGGTTCTCCCTTAGAATCCATACTCAGACCCCCTATCTAACCACACCGTTTTTTGTTACCGTTTCCATTCACTATTGTTTTACATACAGGTGAAACTTGAATAATTAGAATATCGTGCAAAGTTCATTTATTTCACTAATGCAACTTAAAAGATGAAACTAATATATGAGATAGACTCATTACATGCAAAGCAAGATAATTCAAGCCGTGATTTGTCATAATTGTGATGATTATGGCTTACAGCTCATGAAAACCCCAAGAACCCCAAATCCACAACCTCAAAAAAGTAGATTATTACATGCAATCAATAAAACAAGGATTGTACATAGAACAATATCGGACCTTTGTACTCAGTACTTGGTTTGGGCCCCTTTTGCAGAACTTACTGCAATTACTTTTGCATGATATTCTAATTATTCGAGTTTCACCTGTATTAAACTGGGGTGTCTCGAGATTTTGTATACTTTTAAAGTGTGCCAAAGCTGAAAAAAGGTTGATAAACGCTGCACTAGACGTATGGTCTGCAAGCTTGACACAGGGATTCCACATTTGTGATTTTTCTCATGTCCACATAAACTTCCCTCCAAACAATTAAGGACTTATATATCCCAAAGTCAAATTAGTTAATCAAGGATTAAAAACCGCTCGCAGAATCTTTTAATCTCTAGAACTTAAATGATGCAGATAAAGTGTGATTTATTGTTGTCACATCTGTAGTACAGCCTAATTTATTACTTCAACATGCTGTCACCATTTAATTATTCAAAGCTGTTGCTAAGCTATGAAAAAATAAATCACTTATTACAGAATATCCTCACAGCGCTGAAATACCAACCGAAGCAACTCTTCCCCTGTCCAGCTCTTCAAAATTGATGGGAAAATTGCTATGGGGGCGAAGACAAACCAAACCAGGTAAAGGCAGCCAAAGCCAAAGTGATTGTCTGGTGGGCAATTTGGATAATTGTACTTTATTAACATTAATATCTGGAGGAATATCGCTGCTAGGATAGTATTGGTGAGAACGCACACAAATAAGAACTTCATTGTTCTTTGTGCATATTGCAATAAACTTTAAATACTGTATACATTTCAGATCTGAAGATAGATCTTTGTCAATCATGTTTAATGTGACACTAAACTCAGGAGTTAAACCTTAAAAATACATTCAAGTACCTCAACTATTAACAAAAATGTATCATATTTGTGTATCACTCGGCTGTAGATCCTCAAATCATCTCTGAATTGGTGCTGACACTGTCCTTCCTTCTGGAGGGGGGCTACTTTTGTTCCCCATGGTCCCTGTGTGTGTTGTAAAGTAGTCAACGCTCCAAGCTCACTCCTGTGATGGATTACAATCTCATGTTTAGTTTACTCATTTATACCGTACTGAGATTGTAGTCCATCACAGGAGTGAGCTTGGAGCGGTGACTACTACTACTATCCTCGGGATACTCTGCTTCTACAGAAAAACGCCAATTGTGTTGGCAGATGCAGCAAAACAAATAACAGCAGGCAATTATATTTAAACAATCTATGAAGATTATATTTGTGGTTACGGTAGAAGCAAACAGAGGTGATAATAATTCTAAGGAACCAAGGATTTATAAAAATTTCAGAAAGGTAAAAAAGATTTGTACGGCACCAAATCGTTCTGTAATTACAGAAGGTTTCAGGACAGAAGCTGACTTGAACATAGGAACAAACAAAAAAAGTCCTAACAGCACAGAAACAAGCCGACCTACTCGGATTATTCTCCATAACATTTTAATACTGTACATTGGTTAACGGGGCAATAACTCTATGGCCAGAGTGCATACCTAATATGCATTTATTTATAGACATATACGAATTATATTTGACACACAGGCTTAAAAATGTCCTGCTCTGTTTTTATAATATATACCTATATATACACATATATACATACACACACTATATTGCCAAAAGTATTGGGACGCCTGTCTTTACACGCACATTAACTTTATTGGCAACCCAATCTTACTCCGTAGGGTTCAATATTGAGTTGGCCCACCCTTTGCAGCTATAACAGCTTCAACTCTTCAGGGAAGGCATCCACAAGGTTTAGGAGTGTGTCTATGGGAGTGTTTCACCATTCTTCCAGAAGTGCGTTTGTGAGGTCAGGTACTGATGTTGGACGAGAAGGCCTGGCTCACAGTCTCCGCTCTAATTCATCCCAAAGGTGCTCTATCGGGTTGAGGTCAGGACTCTGTGCAGGCCAGTCAAGTTCCTCCACCCTAAACTCACTCATCCATGTCTTTATGGACCTTGCTTTGTGCACTGAAGCGTGATTCGTCACTCCAGAGAACACAACACGTCTCCACTTCTCTAAAGTCCAGTGGTGGCATGCTTTACACCACTGCATCTGAAGCTTTGCATTGCACTTAGTGATGTAAAGCTTGGATGCAGCTGCTCGCCCATGGAAACCCATTCCATGAAGCTCTCTACGCATTGGTGTGTCAATCTGAAGGCCACACAAAGTTTGGAGGTCTGTAGCTATTGACTCTACAGACAGTTGGCGACTTCTGCGAACTGTGCGCTTCAGCATGCGTTGACCCCGCTGTCATTTTACGTGGCCTTCCACTTCGTGGCTGAGTTGATGTTGTTCCCAGTTGATTCCACTTTGTTATAATACCACTAACAGGTGACCGTGGAATATTTAGTAGCAAGGACATTTCACGGATGGACTTATTGCAAAGGTGGCAACCTATCATGGTACCAATACGTTTGGCAATATAGTGTGTGTGTATATGTATGTATATACACCTACCTACCTATCTATCTATCGTTTTAATACTGTTATTGTATCTGAATTACAATATTAAACATAAGAATACTGCCACCTTCAGTGCCATCTGCAGGGTGAGGCTTATTATTTTAACTTACATAGTAATCACATGATCTGGAAAAACTTTGCTTGGTTTCCAAACATCAATGAGGACCAGAGCCTCTCATGGACCACAGGGACTGAAAGCCACCACCTGCACAAAGTGATGGCCGCTGGCTCTCAAAGGGATTATGTTTATTAAAGAAGAATGATGTGCCAACCTTTTCTGCCCATAGTTCTCTTCAGGGTCATGCGAGGACATATACTGTGTCCTCTGGTGACCCCAAACTCAGCATATAGCGGGCTATTGGGAGGTGAAGTCCATCTAAAGTCTGAAGGTTTTTCCCCTTAGAATAATAGTCACCTTTTATCAATGCAAATCTCCCTGTTAAGTATACTAAAATAAATGTAGTGTACCTAGCTTTTCAGTGGTAAATAGGAGTGATGAATCCGAGCATGCACACCTATTCCAAGGGGAATGCAAGCCCCTGCAGAAACAATAATCCTTTTTATTCTACCGCTCCTGTGCTTTCCGTGAATATATGGTTTAATCGTTTAGAAACTCTGAAAAGTGTAAGTAGAAATATTCTAAAAAAAAAAATGGTCCAGCCAGCTGAGGTTAAAAGTGGAGAGCAGCGCCTGACCGTGCGAGGGTTAAGACTTTTTGTCAGCTCTGTCTGTCATTCCTGAGTTTGTTTTAATTTGCACAGAGCGACAAAGCTAAGAACATCTCTTCTTAAACAGTGCAAACAATGTTTCAGCAAATAAGTAACTGAGAAAGTCATGAATAGCAATGAGCATCAAAGCTCTGTCATACCCAAGAAATATCCTGTGCCCATATCCACAAATATAGTCTCATTAAGCACAGCAAACAGATAAAAGCAGGAGAGTCAGCTTACATCGGGTTTAGAATTCTGAAAGATCTTCAGAGGAAACTTGAGGTCATCCTTGGCCATGGTTACTATGTATTCTTTTAGGAGAGGATTAGCTGACCCCGGGGTCTGAGCCTCACAGCGATGGAGGAAGGGGACCATCCACTGGTAGGCGTTCTTCACGTACTGATCTCCTGAGGACTGGAAGATAAATAAATAAAATGAAAAAAAAATATGATTAAATAGTATTTACAAACAGCACACATAAATAAAGTAAGAGGATTCCCAAAAACAGACAGCCCTCACTTCTCCCTTTAAATTATGCTGGTCTTCTGCATGTATGCACATCATTTGTTTCATGTTGCTACCTATCTCTGGAATGCTCTACCACATGTCATCAGGCATTTACCAGCCCTCCAAGCCTTTAAAAATGTCCTCCAAACTTTTTTGAAAGCTCTAATCAATTGCATACACACAAAACATGGTCAGGGATTCTCCTCATTGCAGAGTTAATCTAGGCAGTACAGTGGCTTAGTTGTGGCACTTCTGCCTTGCAGCACTGTTGGTCTCTGGTTCGACAGGACACTCTCTGCAAGGATTTGTATGTTCTCCAAGGTACTTGCATGGGTTTCCTCCCACACTCCAAAGACATGCAGGAAGGTTAATAATTGTCTCCTATTTAAATTGGCCTTGCATGTATGTGAGATAGGGATCTTAGAATGTAAGCTCCTTGCGGGCAGGGACTGATGTGAATGTGAACTATGTGAAGTGCTGCTTAAATTGTCAGCGCTATATAAATACCTGTAATTAATTTTAAAAAATTAAAAACCTGCATATTACATAGACCCTGAACATTCAGAAAATTTGCACCCCGGCTACACCCCAACAATACTCAACAGAAAGTGTTATGTGGAGAGAGATGCAGATCATATAAAGGGACACTACAGAGTACAGAGGCAAGAGGCTGCAGTCCCATCCAGAGACCTTCTGAAAGGTCTGCTCAGCCAGCCAGTTTTTATGGATAGCATTTGCGGTTGAATTACTGATCTTTTTGCCTAGAGCTACATTTTAGGTTTCCCATACAGGTAACACGGATTAAGAATCTAAAATAATGCAGCTTGCTCCTGAAATTGCTCAACACTTTTGCAGACATACATTTTCCATAAGAAGTCTCAGCTTGTCGATGTCCTTGATCTGCTGCAGATCCTTGAGAGTTAATGATACATCACAATTCGCTTCATAAGCAAGAGTCTCCAATGTGACCAAGTCATCAGTCAGCAGCTGCAAGCCCGGTATTCTCTTCTCCTTTCCCAGACGCACCAAGGAGAGGGCGCCATCCACCTACACATGACAAGTAAGTACAAATAAGGTGGGACGTCTTTAGGGCTGCAAATAATGATTATTGTCATTATCGATTCGTTGGCCGACTATTTTTTCGATTGATCAGATAAAATACATTTAAAAAAAATACCATCCTTGACTTAAAAAGAAATACACAAATGCAGTGTTACAAACAAAGTTTACTTCAGAACAAAACCACATGCACAATTTTTTGCAATCACACTGCAATGGAATGCACAGCATTGTGGTACCGTACGTTCCAGTATGGGTGGTCCCACTGTGGGTGGGAGGCGCATTTGGGGTGCCATTGAAATGAATGGCACTGCAACGCACCTCCTGCAGCAAAATTTGTCAGGCTCAAAATTACTTTTTTCCCAGCTCTTATAATTTTAATAATTGTATTGTAAGCACATGGAGCTTGAACAGCTTCAGCCAGGGAATGACAGCTGCCAGTGGCAAGATTCCGCAGATGGCAGCTGAATGTAAATAAAGCAGGTAGTGGGCTGGTGCAATAGCCAGCCTCCTATTGGCCATTTCAAATTGTAATAGCCAATAGCAGGCTGGCTATTGCATCCGACCACTGCTTGCTGTGCCCTCCTCCCAGCATGGAGGAGAGAGCTTGGCGATCCAACCAACTAATCGATAATGAGAATAGTTGAAAACTAGTCTCATAATTGATTAATCGATTAGTTGGTTGCAACCCTACATGTCGTCTCATAGCTTGTTCAGTATAAATGTTGTATACACTGATGTATCATACTATTAAAAAAATAAAAATAACAAGCACACTAAATATGGTTTGAAGACAGCCTCCTCCTACATTGCTACCTTTCTATAACAAGTCTTCTCCACAGCCTCACCCTCTCCACCTCCAACATCATTAAGACATTTTCTACTTTTGATAAAACTAGCTGGAAAATCTTCAATGGTATCAATGCTTCTGCGCACAGTTGACCATAAATCACTGTGGAAAATCCCTTTAAATGTTAATCGATCCAAAACTGAAATTGTTTTAAAATGTCACAAAGTAAAGCTGATAACAGATATAAACTGCAGACACCGCTGCTCTGACCAGGTGAAAATCCAAGACTTTTAGGTAGTGTGTCTATCCCTCCTGCCTTCCACACATTCCTACTGATCATACTAGCAATGGACTTGTAGAAATAAGTGGGGGCAGGAGGAAATGAGCAAGCTACTAAAATAACACAAAGTGTTGGATGTTTGCTTATAAAAAAAAAAAGGCCCAGCTTTGAGGCGAGGGAGCATTGAGTCACCCCATATTGTAATGTTATGTTCCCCCATATTGGCATGTGATTCCAGTGAGGGCAAACATTTCCTCCATCAATCCAGAAACACAAACTGTTGGGCTATTGCCTATTTTCCCCCCCATACAGTGCTACAAAATGGGGCTGATTTAATAAAGGTAACTATGCAAGGAAATTTTCCCTAGCTTAGTGAATGTGGGGAAAATTCACTGTGCAAAGAATACCCAATAATGCGCAAGAACAATAACAAAAAATGATAATTGGATGATGGATGGAAGTTAGCAGAGCTTCACTCATTCACTAAGCTAAGGAGAAATTCCCTAGCAAATTGAACAGTCTATTTGACTTTAGTAAATCAACCCCATGAATTGTGTCCTTGTGCTATCTGGGGACACTCATTATCAGCTGACTGCATGCGGAATTCAGTCGCCAAATAAAAGCTCCCAATGAACATTTGCATGCCTATGTCTATGAACAAAAAAGAGTTTACTGGACATCTTTGGCATCAGCTTTTCTGGTAGAAAGTTATTGTAATTGGCTGATCGACTCTATCCTTTCAAAGCCATAGACGCTCGGCACCGGCTGTCAAACTCACCAGCTGAAGTCAATCGGACCTTGCCACAATTGAGGTTGCGGCACAGTTTTCAATGTAAAATACATTTAAAAAAAAGAAACCGGCATTCAGGAGGTGGCAGTATTGTCTCCGGTATGCCACCAAAAACCCTGCCCCGCCACCCTCTGAAAGCCATCTACTGTAAATCGCTTTTCAGAGCGACAGTAGAGATTGCCGCCCATGAGAAAAAGGCAAAAATGTGCTCAGTAAAATAGATGGTTGCATTGAATTAGCTTACAATTAAACTGGCCACAGTGTAGCGTATGTGGTCTGTATGGCAGGACCACTAGATTGCAAGCTCCTCTGGAGACACAAGGGTTTAATATTCTATGTACAATGCTGTAGAGTATGCTGGCACCGTATAAAAGAGTAAAATAAATAAATAAAGCCTCAGGGTCCTCTACAAAGAATAAGACAGGCGTATTAGAAAAAGAATTGAGTGCTGCAGATTAAGTGCAGACAGTAAGTGTAATTATATTCTAATACGGAGAATATAAATTATGCATATGCAGTGCCTGCCAACATTTTACCCATTCCAAAAGAACACATTCACACAACCCTCCACGACAGCGAAATAAAAACTAATCTGCCAAATGTAAAATAGAAATAAATAATTGAAGCAGGAGCGGCAATGACATTGCAGGTAAGAGGTGAAGAAGGGGAGAAGATACAGTTATGGGGGAGTCCACTGTTCTCTAATTGGACGAAGATACAGCATTGGGGGGGTCCACTGTTCTCTAACTGGAAGAAGATACAGCAATGGGGGGTCCACTGTTCTCTAACTGGGAGAAGATACAGCAATCCCCCATCCCACAGTCCACTGTTCTCTACCTGAATGAATATACAGTAAAGTTGGGTGGGAGGAGTTCCTGTTCTCTAAATATGAGAGGATACAGCAATGGGGGGTTCACTGTTCTCTAAGCAGGAAAAGGTACAGTGTTTAATGGTACTGTGTTTAATGTTCTCCAATCAGGGGATAATACAGCGATGGGGGGTGTTCACTGTTCTCCAACAGGAGGAGATATAGCAATGAAGGGTCCATTACTATTTTGTGAATGGCCTATGTAAAGTGTAATTTGTTAGGTGTATACAAATGGCTATACTTGATGATCACATAGCTAATAACATGAGACAGAAGGAGTTTGCATGTTCTCTGCTTGCATGGGTTTCCTCCAGGTACTCCTGTTTCCTCCCACACTCTGAAGACATGTTGGTAGGTTAATTGTCTCTTGTCTAAATTGCCCCTAGTGTGTGTGTGTGTGTGTGTGTGTGTGTGTGTGTGTGTGTGTGTGTGTGCAGCAAGGAAGCAGGTGAGATGGGGACCATTTTGAGGGCAGAAAAGAAGGATCACCAGTAATCAACACTTCTATGAGTGCTGGTGATCTT